ACAAATGATTTACTAACAGCAAAAACCAATGGACACTATTCTGTACTCCTACTTCTGGACCTCTTGACTGCCTTTGGTATGGTTGACCACCCCCTCCTCCTCAAAAAACCTTTACTCTCTTGGTATCTGTGACTGTGCTCTTCATTGGTTCACATCTTACCTATCCCTCTGCACCTTCAGTGTCACTTACAATTCTACTTCCTCCTCTCCTCTTCCTTTTTCCATTTGGGTCTCCTAAGGTTCTGTTCTTGGACCTCTCCTATTCTCAATCTACACCTTCTTGGTGGGTCAGTTGGTAACCTCCCATGGCTTTCAATATAATTTTTACACTGATGACACCCAAATCTACCTCTCTACCCCTCAGCTCATAACATCAGTCTCCTCACATATCACTAACTTACTGACCGAAATATCAGCCTGGATGTCACACCATTTCTTTAAACTCAATCAATCCAAAACCAGGCTCCTAATATTTTCCCCCACGTGCCCATTCCCCTGACTTCTCTGTCAAGATCAATGGCACAACCATCAACCCGTCCCTGCATGCCAGGGTGCTAGGTGTATTTCTGGACACTGAACTCTCCTTTCAGCACCAGATCCAATCACTTTCCAAAGCTTGCCGTCTCAACCTCCATAATATTTTCAAAATACACCCCTTGCTAACCAATGACACCACAAAGCTCCTAATTCACTCCAAGGTTATCTCTCACCTTGACTACTGCAACTCCCTCCTCATTGGCTTACCTTTACATAGGCTATCCCCCTCCAGTCCATCATGAAAGCTGCTACCAGAATCATCCACCTTACCAACCATTCAGTGTCTGTCACCCCTCTATTCCATTCCCATCATTGGCTGACACTCACTTAATGATTTAAATTCAAAATAAGAAAAAAACTTACAAAGCCACCCATAACTCGGCCCCCAGCTACATCACTAACCTAGTCTCAAAATACCAACCAAATCGTACTCTCTATTCCTCCCAAGACCTCCTGCTCTCTAGTTCCCTTGTCTCCTCCTCCCGTGCTTGCCTACAGGACTTCTCCATCCTATGGAATTCCCTACCAATCTGATCGACTATCTCCTACTCTGTCCACTTTTAGACGATCCCTGAAAACGTTTCTCTTCAGAGAAACCTATCCTGCCCCCACCTAACAACTGTACATGTATTTTCTCCATCAGCTTATCCCCCACAGTTATTGCCTTTTGTATCACTTGACCCTCCCCTTTTAGATTGTAAGCTCTAATCGGCACGGCCCTCTAATTCCTTTTGTATTCAATTGTATTGTAACTGTACTGTTTGCTCTCACTTTATAAAGCGCTGCAAAAACTGTTGGTGCTATATAAATTCTGTATAATAATATAATAATAATAATAATGATGATGTGCAGTGGACAAAATTTAATTTGTGGATGGAAAAGGTGGGTGTTGAAACAGTGGCTTTACAAATATTTCTTGAGAGTTGTTTCATTGGATCCAACTGTCTTTTCCTGCAAAGCATTTGTATCTTCGCTAGTTAGTGCTTTAATGATCACCTGCAAACAGATGCACAAATTAATAAGTTACCACTATTTGTGATGTACAAGATGTTGTGTATTTGCACACTGGCCTTCATTTGCTTTTAATACTCGAATAACAGCTGAAGCTGTTACACAACCATAACATAGTCTACTATAATTACACTTTGATGATAAAACATGTCTAATGAGAATTGGGGGTCGTACTGAACACAGTGTTGCCTTTCCCAAAATGTGCAAGTCAGTGACAAAAATGTTCAGATTAAAATCTCATGTTTGTGGTGGGGATCTGAAGAAGGTGATACATAAGACCCCCACTAGAACACAGTTCAGCTTAAAGGATCAGTTCATCTTTCCACAAAAAATAATAAATGCACATTTGTTTGCAGGTAAAAAAATGTGCATTTTTTATTTTTTGTGTTAGGAGGCTGGAAAGCATTGCACCAGCAATCAGCAGTCGCTGATGCCATGCATGTCTCCTGCAGACTGGTCAATGTATCTGCTTGCTTGTACATACTGTACGAGCAAGCTGATACTCCTGATTGGAAAAAATTAATGAACTACCACAGAGCTCACAGCACTGTGGTAGTTCATTGAGGACTACAAGCTGATAGCCGCTAAGGCTGTCAGGACGTGTAGTCCATTCATTCACAGAAGACTGTAAATGAATGACACGGCTGTGTGGGTGGAGCCTCGCATGGCAGCGCTGTTCTGTAAAAGGATCAGGAACATGTTGCATGTTCCACCCAAATAATGGGTAGAACGTGTAACCTGTTCCCAAAGGTGAATTTATCTTTTAAGACCAAAAAACGTGAAAGTCAGATGGAATGCAGGGGTGTTATTAAATCTCTATTAACAGGACTTCAAAAGACTTCTAGTTAGGCCCTGTCATAAAATGGCCAGCTTGAAAATCATCTGCAGAACAACTCTTGAAAATATAGAGCATCTATGAGTCTGTTTTGATATGACCTAAAATTGAAACAGAGTCAAACGCTATTCATATCCCATAATGTGTGCTACAATGGAGATAACTTTATAAAAAGTGGCTAACCTAATGCATAGGAATCAGTTAGATATTAAGCTCGCCCATGCCACAAGGTCCAGCACACATTAGCCCTCCCAAGATGCACATAATATCCATATCATATTTGGGCTGTAATGAATTGTAATTTTACCATGTTATAAAGAAATATATAAATGTACTTAAAAAAACTAGTATTAAGGGTGTGCCCTCTGGAGCATAATAACATACATCAACACCCCTCAGACCCTTTAAATTATTATGTTAATTCTGTAAACACCCTCTGCCAGGGGTGGACTGACAACTCATGGGGCCCCCGGGTAATAGGGGATCATGGGGCCCCTGTGTCCTTGCCCAAACTCAAAAAATCCTCTGAAAAAAGTACCAGGGGAATCTCATGGGGCCTCCTACTGCAATAGGGGATCATGGGGCCCCTGTGTCCTTGCCCAAACTCAAAAAAGCCTATGAAAAAGGTACCAGGGGCATCTCAGGGGCATCTCATGGTGCCCCCTACTGACCCCAGGCCCTCGGGCAGTGCCCGAGTTTCCAAATGGTCAGTCCGCCCCTGCCCTCTGCAGGGAGCAAGAAATATGGCTGCATTTGCCATTTATAAGAGGTGGTGACCATACACTGTGTTATACAATATCAGAATAGACTTACTCTGCATACAAATTGGACTATGCACAGAACCAAAGACCAAGCAAACTTTGCTTAAGTATTTACTTTTAGTCCCTTTGTTTTTACTGTAGCTTTTTGCCTGTTTTGTGGCATTCCTCTGCTATAATGTGTGTCTTGCACCATTTTTCCTGTCTTTTAATAAAACATTATATGAAAATTGTTAAGCTGCATTTCTGAATTTATGATCAGATAGTAATAAAACTTCTGCTCTTGTGAGGTGCTGTAATGTAAACTCTGTTACATATCTGCTTGGCATGGCATCAAGTGTTATAAACCTTTCCTAAAGATTAGAACTACAATAGTAGATACTGAGACTAGAGCCTGTTTCTGTTAAAAAAAACACGTAGTAGCAGCTACTGTGTGTTTGTAAATTTCCTCTCCGTCACTGTAAGATGTAGTTGTTGAAGCACTTTTTGAGCTTCCAACCACGTCATCTAATGCGCCAGAGAGGGGTCCAAAATATATTGACGCTCAATTTCACCAACCTTCCATGTAACTTCTCGCTCATGTTCCCTGATTGCAGTTTGCACCGCCTTTATTTCTGAATTAAATAGACCCCTAAGATAGCATTTGAAAGCATCCCAACATAGTAAAGGGTCTCTAAAATCTGAATCCCAGAGGAAGTAGTTGCAATGTTAGATTCAACTGCCTCTGGGTCGTGGAGCAATTTAAGACAAAAAGGGTTGAGTTTTGAAGAGACTTTCTGTAAAATGGTGTAGGGTGGACGGTGAGCCACACAACCAGGGGGGGTATGATCAGAGACAGATCTAGTGGCATACTGTATTTTGGAAACCAGAGCAGCACAGTTAGCAAAGACCAAACACTGATCAATCCTAGAAAGGGAAATACAGGTTTTGAAAAAACAAGAGAATTGATGTTCCTCTGGGTTTCTACATCTCCATAGGTTCAACCATCCCACTTCACTCACAAACCTACTCAAGGCAGTGCCTCTATAATGAGGGTCTTCTGCCAGCAGTGGATGTTTATCTAGCCTAGGACAGATATAGCCATTAAAATCACCCATGAGCAAAAGAGGTAGATCAGGTTTGTCAAGGAGAAAGCAGACTAATTGACTAAAGACCATGGTGGAGAAGGAAGAAGGGATATACACAAATGCAGGGATGCAAGGAACTTGAAAACTCAACAGATATATCTGCCCACATTGTCTAGTTCACGTGCCAAAACCTCAAAGCCAAGCTGGCGGTGCACCAGAAGGAGGTGTGAATTGAGTGGCAGACATATCCCACCCAACGATAAGACATACAATTGAGCACATCATGCTTTAAGTGAGTCTCTTGTAAGCAAATAATGGCAGGCTGATATTTATGCAATATGGAAAAGACCATGGTACATTTTACTGGGTCACACAATCCCCTGACATTCCACTAGATTATTGGGATATCTGCTATGATGGAGTATCAACTAAGAAACAAACAGGATCAGTCCCAACAGTGCATAGGGAGGAAGGTGCATCTTGGTATTGCTGGTAGTCACAGTGAGTTCCATGTCCTCAGAGACTGAGTATACAAGCTTCTGGCTCTAATAGCCGGATGTAGTTAGAATAAATGCTTGTCAGAACCCATGTTCGGAACCTGTGGATGTACCTGGACACAATGGCGCCAAACAGAAAGTCAGAAGGGAATGAAAAAGTCTTAAACAAGTCAACTTACAAAGTTACAAAATGTCTCTGCATATGCTAATGACAATAATGCTTAACTCTCTACACAATATATTCATTAAAATATTACATTTGACATATATAGGACACGATCAGGGGTGGACTGACCATTTGGAAATTTGGGCACTGCCCGAGGGCCCGGGGTCAGTAGGGGGCCCCATGAGATGCCCCTGGTACCTTTTTCATAGGCTTTTTTGAGTTTGGGCAAGGACACAGGGGCCCCTTGATCCCCTATTGCCCGGGGGCCCCATGAGTTGTCAGTCCGCCCCTGGACATGATGATATGCTCTCCATCACTTCAAGTTCAACATTAGGTGCCACTAATTGCAAATCAGGAGAGCAGTAGGTTTTGAAAGTTGTATCTCTAGTTACAACCTTTAGTAATATAACAATCAATGTAGTATCCCTCCATCTCACATAAGAATTACAAAGAAAAAGACAAAGACCATAGAATGGTTGCTTTGTCTAGGGAATGTTTGTTCCCATATAGCCCATACAACCAGATGCCAGGTGAACTGTGCTACTGAACCAGGGTTGGAAGCACAGCACTATTTCCTGAAAGTATACTGAGTTGGGGGAGGATGGAATCAGCCTTTTCTAGAGTGCCACAGAGATTTCCAGGTAGAGTAAGCTGCTGGGCCATTTACATAGATGATGTGATGCTAAGCTGGGGATGGAGGGAGTGGTCTTTTCAAGGACACTGCTTACTTTGTTTTTTGCAGAGAAGAAACGTAGATTTTTTTTATTGCTATAACATCTTCGGTATTAAAGAGTGCAAGGAAGAGGCACATATGTGCCAGGTGACATTTATGTCCTGAATATCAATATATTTTATTTATGATGCAAACATGCACATGTTCCCCTAAAATGTGATAGGTTTATTTCTCCATTTATAGTGTAGCTGAATAACAATTCAACATACATGAATTAGATGTACTGTTGAGTTCAGTTGACAGTGCTACACGTAGAAAAGGTTACTTTTTTGTTGCTCTCAAAGCATAATGCCTTGAGAATACACAAACACTGTACTTTTAAATTGGCACTTGCATTTTCAAAATGTTTCTTCCTGGAGTTCTTGACACATAAAACAGACACAAAGGGTGTTCCTTGGTGTTGTGGACTGATGACCAATGAAAATTTAATATGCCATACCAGTTTCCAGCAACACTGAATGTAGGTCATATATGCTTGCTGGAGCACTATGAATTTTTGAATGTGTCTGTGCCCTAGAGCCTGCTTTAAGCTGCATGGAATCACAGGTAAACCACTGTACAGTAAATCCTTTTTATTGTACTGTTTGAGGAAATATTATGGAAAATAGAGCAGCCTTGAGACTTATAGAATTAGATTTACAAGATTGTTCTGACTCTCATAGGTTTGTATGAAACTGAAAAAACAAGAAAATGAACCGTGAAACAAAAATATTTTTTAAAGTTAAAGCAAAGATAGTGTACATGGTGGAAGCAATTGAAAGTGATTAAAATAGGATGACTATTTTGCCTTAATAGTACACTAAGTACAGTAGCTTCACCAAACAACATCACTAAATAGTGCTGGATGTTTTGAATGCTATGTATATACCACCTCTGTGCCTCTATTCTACAGATGCTCTGATTTAAAGGATAAGTTCACCTTTTGGACAAAAATAATAAATTCACATTTTTTTGCAGGTAAAAAAAAAATGTGCATTTATTATTTTTGTCTACAGAAGCATGGAAAGCATTGAACCAGCAATCAGTAGATCGCTGATGCCATGCAGGTCTCCTGCTGACCTGTCAGAATATCCGCTAGCTGTACGTGATGTACGAGCAAGCAGATATACTGACAGGAAGCTTGAACTAATTACCACACTGCTTCACAGCGGTGTGGTAGTTCATTGAAAACTACAAGCTGACAGCCGCAAAGGCTGCCGGGACTTGTAGGCAGTCATTCACAGAACTCTGTGAATGAGTGACGTGGGCGTGTGGGAGGAGCCCTGCACGGCTGTTCTGTTTTCAAATCTGACAGATAGTATGAGGAAACTTCTCCCTGTACTAGCTGTCAGAAGGAGGAGGGGCAGCAGGCGCTGTTGTGGCTATGGGAACATGTTACATGTTCCATCCTAAAAAACGGGTGGAACATGTAACATGTAACATGTTCCAAAGTCCTTTAAAGGCTTTAAAGCTCAGCTCTAGGTAGATATAAGACACAAATTTAAACACAACTTTATAGTTATTAATAAATTGTTAAATGTATCTTTTTATGCAAGTGGTGTAAGTACAGTGCCTTTAAAAGTTTTCATACCCCTTGAAATTTTACACATTTTGTCATGTTACAACTAAAAACGTATTTTATTGGGATTTTATGTGATAAACCAACACAAAGTTCACATGATTGTAAAAAATTGTGAAAAATTGTGAAAAAGATAAATGATTTTCAAAATTTTACAAATAAATATCTGAAAAGTGTGGCATGCATTTGTGTGTAATTTAATCTCAGTATAAATACAGCTGTTCTGTGAAGCCCTCAGAGGTTTATTGGAGAACTAAAGAAAGCCATAAGAAGTCCCATTTGCAGTTTGCGAGAAGCCATGTGGGGGACACAGCAAACATGTGGAAGAAGGTGCTCGGGTCAGATGAGACCAAAATTTAACTTTTTGGCCTAAAAGCAAAATGATATGTGTGGCAGAAAACTAACACTGCACATCTCCCTGAACACACCATCGTGAAAACATGGTGGTGGAAGCATCATGTTGTGGGGATGCTTTTCTTCAGCAGGGACAGGGAAGCTGGTCAGAGTTGATGGGAAGATGGATGGAGCCAAATACAAGGCAACCTTAGAAGAAAACCTGTTAGAGTCTGCAAAAGACTTGAGACTGGGGCAAATGTTCACCTTCCAGCAGGACAATGTCCCTAAACATACAGCCAAAGGTACAATGGAATGGTTTAGATCAGGGGTGTCAAACTGGCGGCCCTCCAGCTGTTGCCAGACTACAATTCCCATGAGGCATTGCAAGATTGACAGTTACAAGCATGACTCCCAATGGCAGAGGCATGATGGGATTTGTAGTTTCACAACAGCTGGAGGGTGGCCAGTTTGTCACCCCTGCTTTAGATCAAAGAATATTCATGTGTTAGAATGGCCCAGTCAAAGTCCAGACCTAAATCCAATTGAGAATCTGTGGCAATACTTGAAAATTGCTGTTCACAGACACTCCCCATCCAATCTGACAGAGCTTGAGCTATTTTGCAAAGAAGAATGGCCAAAAATGTTACTCTCTAGATGTGCAAAGCTGGTAGAGACATACCCAAAAAGACCTGCAGCTGTAATTGCAGCGAAAGGTGGATCTACAAGGTATTGACTCATGCATGCAAAACTTTTCAGATATTTATTTGTTAAACATTTTGAAAACCATTTATAATTTTCCTTCCACTTTACAATTATATGTCACTTTGTGTTGGTCTATCACATAAAATCCCAATAAAATACATTTACGTTTTTGGTTGTAACATGACAAAATGTGGAACATTTCAAGGGGTATGGATCAGGGGCAGACTGACAGCTCATGGGGCCCTCGGGCAATAGGGGATCATGGGGCCCCTGTGTCCTTGCCCACACTCAAAGTACACCCAAAAAAGCCTATAAAAGGTACTAGGGACATTTCATGGGGCCCCCTACTGACCCCGGGCCCTCGGGCAGTGCCTGAGTGCTCAAATGGTCAGTCCGCCCCTGGTATGGATACTTTTTCAAGGCACTGTACCTGAATTTGGCTTACTATCAGCTGCTTGCTGTCCTTTATACAGCATTGGACAGACCAGGAGAGGGGGCAGCAGCACAAGATGTCTATCAGTTGTGCTACAAGGAGTATGCTGATAAAAGGTGATAACAGATTGATAGAGTTATGAAGTCATCAGTCTACTGTTTCTCTTTTCGTTGTCCAATCATAAGTTGGAGGAGGATCAAGACCGTAAATATTACTTAACTGAAGCAGAGAAATATCAGGTCCAGGGGCAGACTGACAACTCATGGGCCCCCGGGCAATAGGGGATCATGGGGCCCCTGTGTCCTTGCCCAAACTCAAAAAAGCCTATGAAAAAGGTACCAGAGGCATCTCATGGGGCCCCCTACTGACCCCGGGCCCTCGGGCAGTGACCGAGTTTCCAAATGGTCAGTCCACCCCTGATCAGGTCCCCACTTTTCCAAGCATGGCTGTGCTTTCTGGAAGGGCTGTGTACATTTCAGAACTGGATGGATAAAAATACATCATTTTACAGATACGTCAGCTCACATATATGTATTTCAACTACACCTTTAGCTTTTTGTCTGGAGTTCACTTTTAAAGCATAACTACAGGCAAAACTTTTTTTAGTTTTGGATAGAGTGGAGAGGAACTAGAATACCTTTGTGTAATAGAGGGAAATCTTTCAATGGAGACATTTGGTGACCTTGGTGACACCCCAGAATTTTTTGGAGTTATTTCCTCTCACTTTCTGTTTTGGATATGGGACAGGAAGTGAATGGAAATCTCCCCAATGGTATACAGATGGAAAAAAACTGACTGGGGTTATAACCCTCTCTTACTCTATCCAAAATGTAAAAATTGCTTTTTTGTTCTAATTTATGCAACGTGAGTACCTCTGTGAGTACCAGAAGAACAGTGTATGAGAGTGAGTGGAGGTTAGTGTAATTTGGCATTGCTAGTACAAATCACACTCATTTCTCTTCCTTATTTAGAATTATACAGTAAATGTATATTGTTTCCTTTTTTTTATAGTCAAACTGTTAACCAGTTTAAAATATTAAAAAGGTGACTGCTATAACCTTTGGTAGAAACCTCTTCAACTACTTCAACTGTCCTTATTATCTATCAAGGAGCTGTTATTGTACAGAGGTATGGCCTAACTCTTAAGGCAGCAATAGATGGATCAAAATTCAGCAGGTCCCTGATGAACAGGATACATTTAGATCCATTTATGGGCAGGCTAGGTGTACAGAAGCTGACCTCTCAATCAACTTCAGTACAACCAGCCTGTTGAAAAAGTTTCACTCAATCAGTGATGCCAGCAGTGTTGATGAATGTATTTTCATGGTGGTAAAGGCTCCCCGCTATCAGAATACAATAGATCTGTGGGAGGGTTTCCTCCATCCATCTTCAATGTGTGGATGGCGAATCGATTAATTTTCTCTCCTTCAAACCGTTAATTGAACTAAAGAAAATTAATCATGCATGGCCTGCCTAAGGGTAGGGTGAAATAATTTCAGGTGATCATAGCAAACTGCAACTAGTATTAGTAGGGTTCATATAACTGGCTTTTCTGGCTAGAGAAGGTAATAGGTGCTACGGGTATTACATTATTTCTGCTTTCTTTTTGTTTGTTTGTTTTTTACAGAGAATTAGAAGGTGTTTTTACTTTTTTTTTTTTATAGTGAGCTAGTGGAAAAGGTGAGCTATGTGAGCCAATCATTTTAACCCAAACCTAACATGTTAAGACCAATATGAATTCATTTCATTGAACGTCAGCTAATGAAGCTTTGAGGCTTCAATTATCCACAGCTTAATAAAAGCCCTAATCTGTATTAAATGAAATCCTTCAATAAATCACATGGAAACAATGTGTAAGTAATAATCAACAAGCCTTGTTACAAGAGCCTGCTGTGGCAACAGTAATGGAATGTACTGTGTAATCAGATTCCACAAGGTTTAAGAAACACAGCCTGTTATCTAACAAGCGCTACACAACACAATCGGCAAGCTTTCCTACAGGCAGCACACTGATTCTTAAACAAGGTCATTTTTTAACTCTGGAAGGTCAGCAGCTATCAAATGGTTTTTAAAGCTGAACTCCAGAGATGAAAAGCATTAACCTTTGCTGTGGGTTCCCATCCCCCAGCAAGGCATTACTGCTCATTTAGCCTAAGAGGTGATAAATAAGGGGATGTACAGTGGGGCTGGGTGCTGACTCGAGGGACATGTACTAATGCAATGAAAATGTTAAAAAACGTACCATTTGGCTTAAAGTGAATCATCAAAAATACCCATTTCCTTTAAGTACCATTGGGGGATGCCCTAAATCTGCCTGGGAAGTGGTGCACCTGTACAAAGTATGTAATGGAGAAGAATTACTAAAACTGCTGCACATAGAATCTGGTGCATCTGGCAATGGTAACCAATCAGCTTCTTGGATTACTGTCAAAGCTTAATTGAACAAGCTGAAGTTATAAGCTGACTGGTTACCATGCAGAACTGCACCAGATACTGAGTGCTCCAGTTTTAGTAAATCCCCCCAAATGTATTACCGCAAAAATGACAGTTATAAAGAAAACAACACCATTAAAATTGCTGGTGACAAGACACCTGCCAGCTTAGTTTTCCTTATGAAAAAAAAACAAGTGGCACCCTTGCAGGGCCTCCATGCGGTTTTGCAAAAAAAAAAAAAATTTATTGTGAAATACCTTACATATTCTGTATTTGATGTCATTCCTAAAAAATTAAAGCCAGTCTTGGCTGATAGATTTTCTTCTCTATGGTCCCAACAGAAAAGCGCCATGTACGTTTTTGCCAGGAGCTCTGGGAGCAAAATTAGTCTTCAAGACTAATGTTGTTTTTAGTGCTGCTGTCGTCATCTTTAAAAAAAATGCAGATAAAAGCATGAACAAAATCAAGTATTTTAAATAATTATTGGTAGTATTATTTTCCTTTCCATAAACATGAAGGGATGCAATATTTTTTAAACATTTTCGGGACCTTGTAGTGAGCTTTAGTCAGCTTAGCTATGTGTCTGTTAATGTTTTCTATGCATGAAGTGTATCATATACACATTACTGCAACCAATTGACCGCAATACTCCCATCTATGTTGTAATGAGCCATATATCAAAGCCCACTCATCCACGTAGGTATCTTGACAGGCAATAACCCCCTAGTTCTACATCAGCTCACACTTGCAGTAATCTATCCATAATTAGTTGTGGAGGAGCCAGATCCGGTGAATCTAGCCAGCTACGCCATATTTTCATGTATGACTTGACTTACGATGTTGATATGTCAGTTTCTCCCATATTATAGTCTAATTGATTTGGTCAGTCCAGTTAGAAATATTTATTGCCTGATCAATCGATAAGCTTGGGAGGAGCATTGGTGGTGTATGCTAAGAGTGTTATTAAATATCTGAGTGACTTCCTGACCTTTTTGTTCAGGGCTTTGTAAGTGTAAGATCCCGAAGTGCTGCAAGAATCTCCCCTCCTGGCTACCATGGCGTACCACTTCGAATCTAGAGGAAGCAAACTGCAGTTGTCCTCAACATAAAGTTGGTGTGTGACAGACTGAGTAGGAAAGCACCACAGGAACTTTTTCATTGCTGACCTGCCTTGCATTGTAAGGTTGAGATACTGCTATAATCTCAGTTGTCAAAGTGACATACTTGAAGGCTTGAGAGCCACGCCAATATAGCCCTGTGAGATAGGGACCCAGAAGGTTAGAAAGGCATGAAGAAGACCAAGGGATGTGGGCATGGGACATTCCCTAAGTAGCCACTAGTGAACTGAGGAATGAACACTAGGTACATAGAAACTGAAGACCACTCTCTGAAGGCTATAACCCATCCTATCTTAACACCTGCACATGTACGCTTAGTGTCAGGATAATGGATGTTTTCATCCTCTCTGCTAGATGTTTTGATTAAATTGGAAGATTTTCTACTATCAACAGCTTCATGTCAGATGTTAAAAATCTTGGAAGTCTCTGCCAGTAGCCTTCGAGCACAGAGCTTTTCAGTCTGTATACTGATGTCCTCTCCACAACAGTCCTGTGGTAAGCAGTGACATCCCATGGGTGTTCCAATGGCACAGAACTCCACTATTCAGGTCAGGCCAGTTTTCTTGGGACTTCCTGCTGAATGTCGGAACCAGAGCTTTGACAGTTTCACCTGACCCCATCTCTGAAATCTGCATTTTGTCAGTGAGACACTGCTAGAGAAAAGAACCTATTTTTATTTTCAGTCTAAACCGGCTGAGCATTGCTTTAGACTTTAGGGTGACTTTGGTCTACTCTCCTGTTTATTTAATTTCTTGAGTTTAGTTCTGTCTTTCACTGAGCGGCTGGGCAGTGTTTCTGCCCAAACCATTGATTGCACTTCCCACCACTTCTTCTGTGTCCGGGACTCAATGACTCAATTACTTTTACTACACCTTGCTGCAATTGTCTCTGCAGACTCGCTCATTGTATCTGTGGAGGTCTTGTCTGTGGTGAGGATTGTTTTCCTTTACTTTATTTTCACAGGAGCAACTGCAGCTGGCATAACTTCAATGGACTAGTGCATATAGAAACCCCAATATTTCTGGTGCTTAGACTGTCAAACTGTAAGAAAGCTGCTTGCACAATTTGTTGATATCAAATTAAACCATACATATATGCAAAAAGTGCAGCACTAAACAATTTTAAACTCTAAATTTCAAAGTGTCACATTTGAAAAACAAACAAAAAATATGAAAAATTAAAATAAAGTACCCAGAAAATAATGACTGTGATCACAATACTATACGTGAAAAATATCCAAACATATATTACAGTCCATCAAAAAGTCCCAATATGTGAATTATTGGCAATTATAGTAATAGAAGCATGAACACCTTCAAACTCTTAATGAGAACAAAGAAAAGCCTTCTGTGCAGAAATATTCACCCAGATTTGACCTTTTCCATGAAAACTAGCAACACAAGCTCCTTGCCAGATTATTTTGACCCCCATGCACTGAGCAGTCAAATTCTCTTTTCATAAATAATCTCCAGGCACTGTTCTCAGAGATACATTTGGCTCACAAGAAACATAGAAACAGAGAGCCTCATAGTGTAGTAATA